CAAATAAATTCCATTCACACACAAACATGCACACATACACAAGGGCTTTACGCCCATTTCCCCATGTTCCCTCTTCCTCCACTTCAAAGAATAATAAAAACATGCTCCTCTTGTGCATCCTTTATCACTACTCCAGTTACAAACTATGGGCACAAACCCCTGAGGTCTCAAATCCAATGCTCTCTGGCAAACTGATGTCACCCACATTCCCAATTCAGCCACCAAAAATATGTCTTTGTGTCAGTGTTGACACACACTCTCATTTCACATGGGCTACAGGCTAAAGGGGAGAAAACTCAAAGAAATTAATTCACTATATGCTCTCTACCTTTGCTATCATGAGTACTCCTCTGTAACCTGTAATTCTTCCTACCGGGCCTCTATCTGGTCTACTTCCTAAAATTATCAGACCCACTTGACCAAGGCCATCAACCCTTTCAGTGCTTCTGTAACCAGAGGAGATGGTCTCTTAACAGGTAGAGAATGCCCGTGTGTGTGTGCGTGTACGTATGTACATATATATATATATATATATATATATATATATATATATATTCCCCCCACCCCTTGACTAAAATAAAAGCAATCATGTTCCCAGAAGATTCTTCATGTGGTCCACAGAGAAGCATCAGGTACTACCTTGACCTGCCTCATGGCTTCTTTCTTCCAAGTATCCTCTCCTGTTAGTGGTCCAGGGCTTTCACATTGTGGGACACCATCTACTCTCCCCTAACTCTCCATCCAGTCTCTCCTGTAGAACCTGCTGGCCATGGGGCCTAGGATGCTGCATCCTTGATACCTGTGTTCCAAAGGATCTGAACTAACAGTGGCAAAGACTGAATGGGGACAGAAGAGCTTCCGGCTCCACTAACTAAGGAAGGGTCGCTGCATAGGTGTATGCAGGGCAGTCAATGCTGCAGAAAATGAGTGGTTGAAATTTTCCCATGGAGAAAAGCCTAGGCCAAGATGATTTATTATGCAAATTCTATCAAATCCTTTTTAAAAATACAACAGGAATCCTTCACAACCCCAGAAAAAAATAGAAAACATGTTTAGATTCCACTATACTCCACTATACTCCAAACTAAGCCCATGGTGCACAAGGAAGTCATCATATCAGCGGTTTCTGCACCAGGTCCAACACTTGTCAAAAGACAACCATGACAATAAACAGTCAATGCCTCAAGCAGGTACAAAGGTCTCACCTCCAATACCTGTCCTAAGAACCTACAACAGCCTAGCTACAAGCAAGCCACCCTCAACCCAAAAAGAACTCTGGGAGATACTCAGCCTAATGCCCCCTCTCTTGTACTGAAGGTGAAGAACAGAAAGCATCAGATGAAGAATACCGATGTAACTGGATTCACAGAGTACATGATGCCATATTAAAAAAAAAAAAAATTCCTACGAACTCACAAAGCATTAAAAACCCACTGAAAGTAAACAACATCAGCAAGGGTCCAGGACACAAGATCAACATACAAAATCAACTATGTTTTGGTATCAGGCAATTAAAAAAATAAAAATTTTAAAGCAATTATGTTTATAATAGCATCAAAGGTGTAAAAAAAAAAATACACCTCCAAAGTGTGAAAACACATCTGTAATGTCAGTATTCAGGAGACAGACAGAAGAAGGAATCATTCCTACATAGTTATGAGGCCAATTGGGACACATGTCACCCTGTCAAAAAATTAATAATCTTTAATATAGATGTGACCAAAAGGGCAAATTCCACATACTAAAACTTACTAATAACATTATAAAATAATTCCAAACAAATGATAAGCTAGTGAACAATCATGTTGAGATTACAATTCTCCCAGAGATATTTGGAAGTTCGTTTAACACAATGCCTGTCAAAAGCCATCATAGCAGTGCTTTAGGGAAACACAAGCTGATGCAGGAAGGCTTATGTAAATGTAAGGAACCCACTATGGTGGGTGTCACTGAAAACAAGTGTTGGTGAGGATGAATCAATACCCTCACACACTGCTGCTGGGAATATAAATGGCCACACGATTAAATTTACAACACATCCTTGAAAAAAGAAAACCCCACACAACTATTATTCTCAATAACTAAAATAAACTCAAACTAAACGTCCATCATCTGAAAATACAAACATGGCACATACAATGTACTCGTGAGCAATGAACAGAACCAAACTATTGATACATGAGTGACTCTCAAAATCATTAAATTAGGAAAAGGAAGCCAGACACAGTACCTATTTCACAGTATATGAATGTGAAACTGTCAAGAAAAGGTTAATCTATAGAAATAAGAAAACAAACCAGGGTTTGTCTAAGATTGAATGGATCCAGAACTGGCTACAGCTTTGCATGTCTGAAACCATTAAAGTAATGAAAAGAGGGGCTGGAGAGATGGCTCAGTGGTTTAAGAGCATTGACTGCTCTTCCAAAATATCTGGATACAATTTCCAGCAACTACATGGCAGCTCACAACTATCTGTAACTATCTGTTCCAGGGGATCTAACACCTTCACATCAATGCACATAAAATGGTATTAAATAATTTTTTTTTTTTTACAAAGTAATGAAAAGAATTCTGAATCTGAGTTGTGGCCATCACAGAACAATTCAAAAAACCACTTAGAAAAAACCACTTAGCTTAGAAACAGTGTATGTAACTTCTTCAATGGCAATTTCTAAAAGCTATGTGTGGTGGTACATGCCTAAAGTCCTAGCACTCCCATGACACAGGCCTGACAGTTGAGTTTAAAGCCAGCCTGGGATATATATGAAGACACTATCTAAGGAGAAGGGTGATTTATACAAAGAGTCTTTCTTGTAACAACAGAAAAGGCTCAGAAAGGCATGATCAAGACCCATTACAGACTCTCCAAGCTAAGGTGTTAAGGAGGACTTGTGTCCTAAAAGGAGATTATTTAAGAGCTATGGCCTAATTAGGGAAATTTACATATTTAGTTATTGTAGAATCATAAGAGAGAGACCCCAGCTCCTAAATCTATCTTGTTTCCTGTCTCACAGTTACCTTTCTTCTTGCACATGTTCCTGTCAGTATACTATCTACCTACCATGTTGTGATATATGTAATCTGGAGACCCTGACCAGAGCCATTCAAATGCTTTGCCTTCTTCACTCCCTAGAATTGCGAGCTAAATAAACTATTCTTTAACTATTCTTTAAAGCATACCACCTCAGGCATTTAGTTATACCAACAGACATCTAATATACTCCTGTATTTCAGTATTATTTCAGTATAACCAACAGAGACAAGAAAAGCCTAACACAGAAACTCAGATAATTTTGCAAAGTCTTTTTCAAACTAAGTCCAAACAACAACAATAATGTTGTTTGATATTTAGGAAAAAAAAAAAAAAAAAAAAAACTCAAGCTAGGCATAGCGGCATATGACTTTAATCCCAGCACTTGGGAGACAGAGGCAGGTAGATCTCTGTGAGTTCAAGATCAGCCTGGTCTACAGAGTGAGCTCCAGGAAAGACAGAGCTACACAGTGAAACGTTGGGGGGGACCCTCATGACACTCAAGCACTATATTGTTACCTAAATCTTTGTACTCTTTTTTCCAATAATAATAACCATAACTACTACTACTACACTATTATTGCTTGGACTTAGTTTGAAAAAGACTTTTCAAAATTATCTGGGCATCTCTGTTAGGCTTTTCTCATCTCTGTTGGTTACACTGAAATAATTTCCCTCTTAGGAACTCTACTACAGGAGTGTATTAGATTTCTGTTGCTATAATTGTTGCAAAATTCCTGAGGTGGTATACTTTAAAGAATAATTTAGCTCATAGCAAATCACTGAAATAAACTATGTCCCTTAAAAGAATTCCTTCACATTAAAAAGTTAGCTAATCAAAAACCGTAAATAACAGCAGACAATATGCATGTCATAAACTACACTAAGATTTTTTTAAGGAGCATTTCAGGCTAAATTCTAGCCTGATCTGAGGCTCTACCACCCGCACTGTGGTTCTAACACTTGTGTGAGATTCCTTGGGGTCTCTCTGTGGCCTAAACTACCCTTCCAGCTTCCTCCTCGTCAGGCTGGCCTCCCTAAGGTTGGTTTTATAAATACATATTTGTGTAATTGTTGTTGGAACTATTTGTCAAAATATGGAAGCAGTTAAGAACCGCATTCATTAAAATGTGCATCGGCTTCACATGGGCACCCAAACAAAGGCAAAGGGCTGGAGACCTAGCATTTCCGCTAAGGTGCCTGCCACACAAGCATGAGAACATGAGTTCTATCCCTAGAATACATACATATTTGTTGCTTTCTTGGGCGTGTGTTTAAGGTTTTAAGTGTGTAGCCCACACTTGTGATCTCAGCGATGGGGAGGCAGAGCAGGGTATAAATAACCCTAGGGCTTGCAAAGTCGGGGAAAAGGGGGTTAAGGAGGAAAAGGAAGAGGAGGGAGAGTGGTGGCTCACTCCTGAAAACACTTCCGGCCTCTACACACACAGAGAAGCCAGTTCTTTGTGAGCTTGCCATCCACCATGGGATAACGCATGTCAACCACACCCGCTTAGATTTATTAATTGAGGCACGGTAACTTTCGAATCATCTCAGACTAAAGGAAAAGTCCAGGCACACAGAGGTCCTTGATGGTACATTCCTTGGCCTGTTCGAAGATTTTCGTGCAGCAACCCCTCCACGCCCAACCACCTAAAAACTGTTAGAGCAAGACTGCACATTGCGCCCTTAAAGCTCTCAGGCCCTGAATGGCCTGGGTCTGTCATTCAAGCAGCTGTGGGAGGGCGTCCTTAGGGACCCTAGGCCGGGCTGCTGTAATGGATGCCGAGCAAGGAGCTTCACCTTTGCTCCAGTCCTTTTAAAAGCCCTGAACTCACAGGAAGAGGATTTGTTAAAAATAATAATAATAAAATTATAGGGGGAGAGGTAACGAAAGGTAAGGGAGGGAGTCCTCTACCCTCACTCCGTGCCAACCACACTAAGCTTCACCGTCGGCCCCGCCCCGCCTCACCTCTCCCGGCCCCTCTCCAGTTGGCTCCGCACCTCTGCGGCTCCCAACATGTCTGGAGCCCCCCCTCGAAATCGACTCCGCTCCCGCAGAGGCCAATTGCTATGTGCCTGCCTCCGCCAGGCCAGGTTCAACTCCCGCTTAACCACGCCCCTCACCGTCGGCCCCCACCTCCCACCTGACTCTAGTCCCGCCTTCTGTCCTGTCTTGGACCCGCCTCCCTCCCACCAGGCCCCGCCTCTTGCCCCTCCCTTCCGGGGTCCGTACCCGCCCACCGTGATTCCTTACCTTCCCGCCTCAGACCCCAAGGCCTTCGGGAGCGCGTTCTCGCGAGTCTTCCCTACCCCAGCAGGAAGCCTCCCCGGGTGGTCCTCACCCAGAGCTGCCTCAGCAGACTTAGCCGCGGCGGAAAAGAAGCCACCGCCCGGGTTTTGCGGCTTGAAAACTTGGCGTAGCCTCCCTGTGGCTTTTCTGTTTTGACGTACTTGGAATTTTCCCGCGGTCGCTCGGGGGTGGGCCTGCGCGCGCGCACGCACCCGCAGTGCACTCTGGGGCCAAGTGCGCCCCCTTAGCATGATGGGAAAACCCTTCGGACCTCGGGAGGAAGTGGGGGAACGCGCGCCGTGGCTATAACGCCGCGCCGCGTAAGGTTCAGCCTGCGGCTTCTTAGTCGTGGGCCCAACAACAAAGAGGAGCTTTCTTTGTGATTATCCCAATCCCAGGTCAGGCCCGTGCACTGTTTAGTTCAGGTTCAAATCGGTTTGAAGTTCTATTTAAGCCACATAAATGGAAACTTCCATTCTAGTCTGATGAGATTTGTGGTATCTTTTATTCTTGAATTTTAAGCATTCAGTTTGTACGCATGCCTTGAACATAAAGGACAATTTGCGAGAATCAGTTCTCTCCTTTCCCTAATGCAGATTCCCAGTCGTCAGGCCTGGTGGCAGGTGCTTTTTACCTGTTGAGCCATCTTACAGGCCCTTATTTAAAAATTATTTTCGAATTTAGAACTGCATGAAGATGTTTTACAGATATTTGAAATTGGGGAGGAGTCCGAATAATCTTAAACTTAGATTTTTTTTGTTTTTTAATCAGTGCCTCAGAACCATCATAGTCAACTTAAGGTGTTTAGCACAGTTTAAGGTGTGCTAAAAAAAAAAAAAAAAAAAAAAAAAACCTTGTAAAGGAGTAATGGATGCATGTGATAAATAGCTCTTATTTAAACACTCAAATATGAAGGCATATCTTAACGGCGAACAAATCCAGTTTAAAGTAAGTGCTATCAAGGTATATAGTTTATAAATTACAAAATGAGTATATTGAGTACTAGTGACAAGTTTTTGTTTTGTTTTGTTTAAAGGGAAAAGTGCTGGAGATGGGGCTCTCTTCCAGAAAGCCTGAGTTTGAGTTATAGCATCCACATGGCAGCTAACAACCTTTGGTAAACCCTGTCCAGGGGCACTTTTGGCCTCCCTGGGCAACACACTGCACAAACATCCATACATATAAAATAACAACAAAAAAATTTAAAGGGAGAAACCAGAGGAAATCCAAAGTTAACAGAATCAAGTGGTTAACCATTTTTTTTAGTTGTTTGGTTTTTTTGTACTTCCCTGAAACTTGTGCTTTTTTTGATGTGTCATTTTGGTCTAATCTAAGGCACAGCATGTATAGTAAGACAGGTGTGCATGACACCTTAGCCCTGAAAAAGACATACAGTGACAGACTAACGTTTTTATTAGTCTTTGTATTTACCAGCAAAAACAATGTGGAACCAGGTTTGTTTCTTGTCTTTTAGAGTGAAAATAACTGTTTTGGTACCCAGATTTTTGTATAGTTGGGGGGAAAATGGTAGTCTTGACATACTGTGATTTTATGTCAGTTTAGTGGTTAATAAAGAACTACTGGGGGCTAGAGAAATGGCTCAGCATTTAAAAGCACTGACTGTTCTTCCAGAGGTCCTGAGTTCAATTCCCAGCAACCACATGGTGGCTCATAACCATCTATAATGAGACCTGGTGCCCTCTGCTGGTGTGCAGGCAGAACACTGTATGTGTAATAAGTAAATAAAATAAAACTTAAAAAAAAATTACTGGGCTGTTGAACTTCAGCATGTAAAATGAGACTATGTTTAGGCCTAACTTAGACTAAATAGTAAGCATGTACAATATAAAGATGTAAATTTAAATTCATGAGGTTTCATAGAGGTTCCTTCTGTGCAGCGTCTATATGTATGGAGCTGTGTTACTAATTTTTAACAGCAATGAGATGGCCACCTTTTGTGATATATCCAATGAGTTTTCTGAGAAACAAATGCTTCAGTACAAGTCTTATTTTTTAATTGTAGCAAAAACTGAGTATGGGACCCTCTGAAAACAGTTCTGGTTGCAGTTTGAGAGAGCACAAAAACTGTAGCAAATGAAAATGGCAAATTTAGATAAGATGTGTTAGAACCTTTTAAGTTTTACATTCGAGAGAGAAAATGAAAAGCCAGCAGCTGAAAGCTGTAAATTTCAACGAATGCATAGAAACACCTGTCTTGGGTTCCACATTGTGAATAAAAGTGTAGCAAGAGTCCTTACACAGTGAATTAAGATACTAGCTCCCACACAAGATCAGGCCCCTGCAGCTGCCTTGCTCATGGCTTTGAGAGTTTGGGCTTTTGGTGTGTCAGGTGTACCTTGTGTGTTTAATAGTTTTGCCTTTGGTGCTTCAGAGGCATGTTGAGTGCTTAAGTCCTGCTGCTAGGTTAGACCTTGCCTTGCACCGTTCCTTGAAGCTCACATTGATCGTATACGGCAGGTAGTACTTCTGCTTCACAGAAAGAGAACCAGGTGCATAGAGCCATGCTTTCTAGCAGGCTTCAGAACCAAGTTTCAAAGCCAGGCCAGCTGTCCTTTTACTGCTTGTTATGTGCCTGCTTACTCCCAGCTAGCCAAGAAGAAAATGGGAGCTGGTCCCATGTGACCCAAGAGGCGTATTCACTGCACTAGCTGCCTTATTCTGACTAAAATATTTTGACTGAGGAAATGTATGCTGAATTAGGGGGGGAAACTTTATGAGCAGCATATGTCAAAGAAAAGCTTCAAGAGATGCATTCAGTAAGTAATGAAGGTTTGATTACTGTCCAGAGAGGAAGAGATTCCTGATAGTAAGGAGGGGAGGGCTATAGGAATAACATTTTTTGGAAAAGGGAAGCCTCTTCTCTGCAGATACACCCACATGCTCCTTCCTGGCCTCCCCTGCAGTGTGCACTTGGGAGGATGTATATACACACAACCTGTTGTTCTCTCACTTTTGTGATGGTCCAGAGGCATGATCAGCAGACACAGTGATTTGAAAGTGGGACCCCAAGTAGAACTCTTAATTTTGATCTTTTCCAAGCTAACTCAGCACCTCTCTCCTATGATGCTAGAAACAACTGCCACAGTTACTAAGAACCACATAGTTCAGGGGGAAACAGTTGAGGTTATGCCAGGTTGTTGCTGAGCTGCAAGTGAGTCAGGTATGTTACATACATTTGACATATGATCCTTTTCTGTTTACAGTGGGTTTTATTGGAAAGGTACACCATGATAATTAGAGAAGAGTTTGTGCTCCTAGAGGAATCCCAAGTGCAGGAGAGTCTTAACACACACACACACTTGCCATAGCTAATTGAATGGTGGGGAGACCTGACCATAGCTGGCTCAGTGGAGATTCTCGAAGAATCTGGAATCCCTAAGTCCTTATGCATAAAGACTTAGGTTATGTAGCAGGGCCATACAATGTAAGTAGCAAAGAAAGCTGTCTGACAGAAAAGACAGGAAGTTGAAAGGATATATTGCTGCATGAGAGACAGAGTAGCTTACATCACCAAGTTTCTAATTATAAGGCCAATTTTTTTTGAGACAGGGTCTCACTATGTAGCTCTGTTGTCATGGAACTCACTGTAGAACAGGCTAGCCTATAACTTATAGAGATCTGCCTCTCCCTGCCTCCCCTATCACAGAGATCTGTCTGTCTCTGCCTCCCTTATGCTAGTATTAAAAGTGTACACCACCACATCTGGCCTTTTTTCTTTTTTTAATGTGCACTGGTGTTTTGCCTGCACCTGAAACTCAAGTCACAGACAGTTGTGAGCTACCCTGTGAGTGCAGAGAATTGAACCCTGGTCCTCTGGAAGAGTAGCCAGTACTCTTAACCAGAAGTACTACCTGCCGTATACGATCAATGTGAGCTTCAAGGAACGGTGCAAGGCAAGGTCTAACTTAGCAGCAGAACTTAAGCACTCAACATGCCTCTGAAGCACCAAAGGCAAAACTATTAAATACACAAGGTACACCTGACACACCAAAAGCCCAAACTCTCAAAGCCATGAGCAAGGCAGCTGCAGGAGCCATCTCTCCAGACCCCACATCCAGCCTTCTAAGTCCTGTTATAAGGCAAGCTAACTATACTATTGTTTTCTGTTCTTAGTGGTCCACACAATTTCCCATATGCTTGTAACCAACATGTCCTTCTCTAGCTGATTTCAGGAACAAGCTACCTAGAGTCAGACAACTCTGTGTGTCTCTGGGTATTAGAAGACTCAGTCCTGCTTTGTAAGTTAGCCGATGGCTGTCCAATGAAAGCCAACCATAGGGGAAGCAAAGTGTCTTTCCTTACCCATCCTTAGTTCATGGCTCAGGCTTCTATAACAAACAAAAAAACATAGTGACAAGAGGACAAATTTTAAAATTCACAGGACATTGGAACCCAAGGAAACAATGAAGCCTGGGAATCTTTATGCTAATTTTGATGAAAAGTGGACAGTCATAGTGGGGAGAGAGAATTGGACAGAGAATATAACCTGCTAGTCATAGAGACATTAGCAAGGCCTGTTTGTTCAGTGCCTTCTCTCTTTCTCTGTGTCTACAGATAAAGGTGCTCCTATATTCACATCATGGGCAACATGAGAGTCACAGAACCTGTTTTAGGAGAAGTTTAGAAAATCCTTCCTAGGTTGTATGACCCACTTCAGAGGAAGGAGAGCACAACCTTCCAGCCTTTTCCAGTACCTAGATGCCAGTAATCATAGAAGCTACCTGTTTTGGCAAAGAAAATATGTTTCTGTTTTGTCAAAATTAGCGTTAATT